AACAACTTCGATATAGCAGTCAACAACAAGTTTTTCAAAAATTCAAAAAGTGGCATTTTTATAACTTCAGTAATGCCTTTAACAAACTCAAAAACCTATTGTTAACCGCTATACTGAAGTTGTTAATATAATTACAAAAACTGTTAACCGTTAAACTGAAGTTGTAAAAATTTTCAAAAAAATTGTTTCCAGTCACCGGAGCTTGTTGAATTTTCCAGAAAACCTATTGTTAATTGCTATATTGAAGTTGTTAATAGCATTATAAAAGTTCTTAACTGTTATACTGATGTTGTAAAAATTTTCAAAAAAATTGTTTTCTTCCGCCGGAGCTCCGACGACCGATTGTTGAATTTTCTGAAAAATCTATTGTTAACTGATATGCTAAAGTTGTTAATAACGTTACAAAAGTTGTTAACGGTTATATTGAAATTGTAAAAATTTTCAAAAAAATTGTTTCCGGCTGCCGGAGTTTGTTGAATTTCCTAGAAAACCTATTGTTAATTACTATACTGAAGTTGTTAATATCATTAAAAAAGTTGTTAACCGTTATACTGAAATTGTAAAAATTTTCAAAAAAATTGTTTCCGGTCGCCGGAGTTTGTTGAATTTCCTAGAAAACCTGTTGTTAATTGCTATACTGAAGTTGTTAATATCATTACAAAAGTTGTTAACCGTTATACTAAACTTGTAAAAATTTTCAAAAAAATTTTTTCGATCGACAGAACTCCGGTGACCAATTGTCGGCCGGTCGCCGGAGCTCCGGTGACCGGCCGGCCAGTGGGGGCTGTGATATTTTAAAAACAATATTTAAAATTAAGGGCAATTTGGTCTTTTCCTTTCACATGATAATCCCAATTTGGTCTCTTGAGACCAAATTGGGATTTATGAAATTTAACATACTATTAGGGGATTATAAAGTTTAAGTAGCATTTTTCTGTTAAAGAACAACAACCATTAATACAAGTGTACTTTTATTCACCGCAACTTGTTTTAAAATGAATAAAGTTGCCGATAAGAAACATAAAATAAACAAGCAAAGGTGTTGGGTGGACTTAGTTGCCGTTAATCATGCTCAATTTGGCCTCCTTTTCGAAATGCTTAGGAAGAGAAAAAGAGCACATGCCCCAATAAAGTAGGCCCTTCATATTACAAAAGTGACGGATACAAATGAAGCAACGCGGCAATCCACAAAAGCGACAAATACGCGGGACGACTTTAGTTGACTTGACTTGTTGACCACAAAGGCTGAAGCAAGACATAATTGGATGAGAGGCATTTCGCATTCGTTGATCTCTGAATCTGAAAAGAGAAATCAAGTCTACAGAATCTGAAGCTGCCATTTTTGAGACCTTCGCTTCTCTCCACATTGGCCAGGTTATTTCTTTCGTCCCACCTTGGAAATATTTTGTTTGATCTCTTTTGTTACATTAATCAAGAAACCAAACCATGTCGTTGCTGAAAAGCGAGGACTTAATGACTGTATGGTATCCATTATTATGGGCTTATAAATAGCTTATAAGCATAAGCCCGACTGACACGGTAATACTATTTGGATGGGTTTTTTTGCAATCGGGTTTTTATATGAAAAGATATAATAAACTATAAACTAAAATTAACAACTTATAACTTATAACTTATTATTTATAACTTCTAAAATATGAGAGAGAAAAAGTTAAGAAATTTATTACCTTCTTTGGTTCTTATTATAAGCCTCAAATAACTAATTTGTAGATAACAAAAAAATCAATTAAAATTAGTTGAAAGTAATAAATAAGTTAGAAATATACTTTTATTTTTAATTATGCTCATAGAAATATACTTTTACTTTTTCATACTTCACTTTATATTTAAAATATCTTTTATAATTTCTCTAGAGTTTTAAAATTGAATTCACTTATTAAATTTGACTTCTTCATTTAAATTATTTTAATTTCATTGTATTATGTGATATCATTTTTTTAAATCATGTTTCATTATTTATTAAAATTTAGACTCATTTTAGTCATTTTATAACCAAAGTTATTTTTACTCAATCATAATCCAAACAACATTTTACTAATATCACTTTTACAAATTATCTTTTCTGAACTTCAATTCAAACACAATTCAACCATCTAATTTAATTTTTACTCAACTTCACTTTTTCAAAAGCTATTTTTTTAATAAGTTACTTTTCAATCGCTGATCCAAACGGAACCTTAATAATTAGTTTCAGATAGCTTAAAGTTGAAGGTTATTGAAGCAAGAATCCACAAGCACATTTCCACGTCCTATGACCAGTTATTTTTTTTTTTTATATACATGTCTTTTTTTTTGGTGACAATACTTTCTTTTATATATATATATATATATATATATATATGAACTCTACAGGTTGAGAGCCAACTGTAGATCGGTTTAAAGATCAGGAGCGGTGGAGGTATCTGGCGATATTTGTGAACGATCTTCCCTTCACATACAGGTCAATACTTACATTCTTCTCTCCCTCTTTTTTCTTTTTTCTTTTTTCCTTCACCCCATCCACACACTGTTTAGCAAGAATTTTTTTTATGAAAAAATTCTGCTCGCAAATCCAATGAAACTTAAACACGTGAGATCTGAAAACTATATAGACTACGTGTACGTACGTTGGGCTTTTTTACGCAAATGCTGTAAAGGCTGAACAGTAAAATTTATTACTAAAATACCACTCAGTACGGACTATTTATCAGGATGCTGGAGGCAAAATGGCTTTTGGCAAAGTGAATTTTAGATAAACAAAGAACCTGTTCTTGAGAACGAGTTTTTCATCTCTAAATTTTTCTTTTTTAAATATTTTTTCTGAAAAGGTGGCAGATATTCTATATAACCCTGCAAATCCTCCCTCCCCATTCTCTCTCTTTCTGTGCGCCCCCTCATTCCTAATTTGAAAAAAAATGGAGCGAAGTATAAATTTAACAATAAACTTATATGCTATAGGCATATAACACCATTAACATTTGAGAGTTGTAAAAATATATATAAACTTTGTGAAAGGGAGCAAAATTACCATATCTGTTAAATACTCCAAACGTCCGTTAACATTCTCTCCTCCCTCCCTCCCTCTTTGTTCTGTCACCGACTTCATCTTTCAGAGCAGGTGGCTCCCAGAAGCCATTAGTGAGAGCAGCCATTTTCAGAGGATCAGATCTGCACCTCATCAAGAAAAGAGCATTCTTCAAAAGAATACATTTACAGATTTACTCACCCTCGCCTTATCTTCTCCATCCTCATTCTTCTTCTCTATATCAATCTCGGCCCCAAACGCTCTCAGAGCTTCACAAATCATCAGTGGCAGATGAACCCATCTCTTATTCTGATGCGTTAAACCCAGTTCTTGCTGCAAATTTTGACGATCTAATGAAAACCTTTGCTCTCTTTTTTGAAAGCTTGCTTCTCCTCTTCTCTTCTTCAATCTCGTGTTTATGGGCTTTAGAGACTCTACTGATATCCCTGCAATTATCCACTTCTTTGCTTCTGATTCTAACCCCGACTCTCTCTGTTACTTTTTGCAATTGGCCGAAAGAATGAAACTTGATTCTTGCCTGAGAAACTGAGAATGAAGGGGATCGGGAATAACATAATAAGAGGAAAGGGTTTTTGCCTGATTGTGGATTTCTTTCTTTGTTTTTTTTTAATAGACGCTTGCCGGAGAAATTTTGGGGGGAAGAAAGAGAGAGATAATATATAGAAGAAAAGAACCGAACCTGTGAGTAAGCAAGACATATACAACCCCTCACATTTCTTCTACAGGATAAAATACTACTCAGTACGAACTATTTATCAGGCTGCTATAGGCAAAATGGCTCTTGGCAACGTGAATTTTAAGATCAACAAAGAACTTGTTCTTGAGAACGAGTTTTTCATCCCTAATTTTTTCTTTTTTAAATATTTTTTTCTGAAAAGGTGGCAGATATTCTATATAACCCTGCAAATCCTCCCTCCCCATTCTCTCTCTCTGTACGCCCCCTCATTCCTAATTAAAAAGAATGAAGCAAAGTATAAATTTAACAATAAGCTTATATGCTATCGGCATGTAACACCATTAACATTTGAGAGTTGTAAAAATATATGTAAACTTTGTGAAAGGGAACAAAATTACCATATCTGATAATTACATAAAGTGTAATTTTAAATTTCAAACAAATCAGTCTGACAGCAAAAGGACAAAGTGCAAAATTGACATTTAAATAAGGAATCTCTGAATTTTATCCTCAAAAGCTATTGTTCACCACTTCCGTAAAACCATGGCTTCAAAGATTTGAAAGCATGGGTCATGGAACAAGTGGTTATGCCCCAAAATAAAAGATCACAGATTCAAGGGGTGTTTAGGTTTTAATAAAAGTACTTTTAGAAAGTATTTTTTTGTACATCGAGATTAATTTTTTCACATATTTATTTCGTATACCATAAAATTATTTTTAAAACGACGGTTTTTTGTTTTCATCTAAACACCCCCTCAATGTGACTTATAAGACCGGCAGCACATGCCACTTTATAAATTAAAATAAGAGAAATAAAAGTGTCTTTTATACGATTTAAAATCTAAAGATCAAAAGAAAAAATAATTAGGAAGTTGAAGTATTACAAACATCATTCAAAAGATCGGCTTCGATTTTTAGATAAAACACCTATATCAATAAGGAATAAGGACAGACAAACCTCGATAGATGGATCCAGTAAATATCATTAAAAAAACATACTTGAAAGAGATGGGACTCCGGGCCCGGGGGGGCGCGCACAAAGAACCCGTGTTTGTGAGGGCAGCAAGAGCTTGGAAATTTTAATGTAAAAGACAAAATAAAGAAATTAAGGAACAACAGCCATGAATACACGTTTACTTTCATTCACCGCAACTTGTTCTAGAAACATAAAATAAACAAGTAAAGGTGTTGGGTGGACTTAGTTGCCGTTAATCATGCTCAATTTGGCTCCCCTTTCGAAATATTTAGGAAGAGAGAGAGAACACATGCCCCCATAAACTAGGCCCCCCAGATTACAAAAGTGACAGATACGAATGAAGCAACACGGCAATCCACAAAAGCGACGAATACGCCGGAGGACTTTAGTTTACTTGACTTGTTCACCACAAAGGCTGAAGCAAGGAATAAACATACGAGGTAGGCATTTCACATTCGCTGATCTCTGAATCTGAAAAGAGAAATCAAGTCCGCAAAATCTGAAGCTGCCATTTTTGAGACCTTCGCTTCTCTCCACATTGGCCAGGTTATTTCTTTCGTCCCACCTTGGAAATATTTTTGTTTGATCTCTATTGTTACGTTAATCAAGACACCAAACCATATTGTTTCTCACTAAGGCTGAAAAGCAAGGACTTAATAATTAGTTTCAGATGGCTTAAAGTTGGAGGTTATTGAAGCAAGAAATCTAATCACATTTCCACGTCCTCTGACCAGTTCATTTATTTTTATATGCATATACTTTCTTTTATTTATATATATATGAACTCTACAGGTTGAGAGCCAACTGTAGATCTGTTTAAAGATCAGGATCGGTGGAAGTATCTTGCGATATTTGTGAACGATCTTCCCTTCACATACAGGTTAATACTTCCATTCTTCTCTCTCTCTCTCTCTCTCTTTGAAAAAATTCTGCAACGACTATCAGGATGCTATAGGCAAAATTGTTCTTGGCAAAGTGAATTTTAGATCAACAAAGAACTTGTTCTTGAGAACGAGTTCTTCAGCTCTAATTTTTTTTCTTTTTTAACTATTTTTTCTGAAAAGATGGCAGATATTCTAAGTAACCCCGCAAATCCTCCCTCCCCATTCTCTCTTTCTGTACGCCCCCTCATTCCTAATTAAAAAAAAAGAAGGAGAAAAGTGTAAATTTAACAATAACTTTATATGCTATAGGCATATGGCACAATTATCCTTTTAGAGTTGTAAAAATATATATAAACCTTGTGAAAGGGAGCAAAATTACCATATCTCCAAACGTCCGTTAACATTCCCTCCCTCCCTGCCTCCCTCCCTCCCTCTTTGTTCTGTTACCGCCTATGTTACTCCCGATCCCCTTCGTTCTCAGTTTCTCAGGCAAGAATCGAGTTTCATTCTTTCGGCCAATTCCAAAAAGTCACAGAGAGAATCGGGGTTAGAATCAGAAGTGAAGAAGTGGATAATTACAGGGATATCAGTACAGTCTCTAAAGCCCCTAAACACGAGATTGAAGAAGAGAAGAGGAGAAGCAAGCTTTCAAAAAGGAGAGCAAAGGTTTTCATTTCGTCAAAATTTGTGAGTAAGCAAAACATATACAACCCAGCACTCAAATCCGTCGTCCCTCGCATTTCTTCTACAAGATAACATAGGCGGCCTCCAAGTTCTTCGTAGAGACCAGTGGGTGGACGCCAGAGACGGAGGAAGGTTTGTGAGAGAAGGAGAGATGACGGAGGGGAGAGAGAATGTTACATTTGGTGAGACTGGAACGGACGTTTGGAACATTTAACATTTTAACCGAAGAGAAAATTACATAACGGATGTTGCTGTAATACAGGTCTTTCTGTATAATTAAATTTTTAAATGAGTATTTTTCACTAATTTTCTCTTGACCGAAATGATAATTTTGCTCCTTTTTATGAAGTTTATGTATATTCTTTGCACCCCTAAAAAGTTAATGATACTATATGTCCCTGCTATATAAGTTTAGTGTTAAAATTGTACCTTTACCTTTAAAAAATTTCACACGTTTCCTTGCTTCTCTCCTTTTCTCATAATAACACCTACCACTAAATATTTATATATAAATATAATATGGATTTTTTTTTCTCTGGTGAAAGATAAAACATGTGAATTGCCTTCCGGATATTAGTTTTATAAAATTGACATCATTGTTGGAACAGCATTGCAAGTTGCAAGTTGCAACACGGCAACCCCACAGACATAAATAGGTGAGAGGCATCTTTTTTGAAGAGAGAGCAAATCTCAGCAAATCCTGAATCTGCCATTTTTGAGCTCTTTCTTTCGCTTCCCTCTACATCGATCCAGGTTATTTCTTCTCTTTCACTTATTTATTATTCTGTTTTGCTTGCCCTTTTTCCCCGGATTTTTCTCAGGGAAATTCTGAAAAAAGATTTGTTGTTGATTTTGGCTCTTCCTTGTTGGCTACCTTACTGTCGTAGATCTGTAGACCTGATCTATTGACTAAGATCTTCATTTATCTTATTCAGAATTTTTAAAGAAGTCAATGCAAAAGCAAACTGCTCGAGTTCTTTATTTTTTTCAAGTATAACTTTGAATCAAGTTTTTTAGTCTATATTAACTAATTTAGTTTACATTCTGTCCCAATATGATAAAAATATTAAACAAATAATTACATAAAATATTTTTAATATAGTTGACAGCTCGAACTTAGGTGTATATTTTTAAAATAGAAGACAAGATGTAAAGGTAGAGTATTTTGCACAATAAATAAGCAATGTTTTAAAAGCCGGACCGGAAGTCGAACCAGAAAGATCAACGGGTCATGGTTCAATCGGTCGGATCGGTCGGACCGTTCGGTCAGACCGGTGACGCAATAATTAATTTTAAAAAATATTATATACATATAATTAGTATATATGAAAAATATCAAATTATTAAATAATTTAGAAATGCATTTAAATAATCTAAAATTATAATAAAATCATTGAAAATGGACTAAAACCTTATATATTTAATTTTATGTATGTTTAAAATATTTAATGATATTACAAATTATCAATTCATTCAAATCAAAATATTTTTTTAAAAGATAGATCAAATATCGAAACAAAAAGACTAGCGACTCACGATTTTAACACCACAATATATGAAATTTTCAATGAAATAATACTATATGGTTATAACTAGTCTAAAAATATATTAGGATATTTAAGGGGATCAATTTTTTTATTTTTCTTCTATTTTTTTAAAATTTTTTAGTATTTTTCAGTCAGGCTAAAAAACCGTCCGGTTTTCTGAAAACCGTTCCGGTTCCCGGTCCAACTCCGGTTTCCGGCTTAATAACGGCTCAACTCCGGTCCAATCCGGCTCAACTATGTGAACGGTTTTTTAGTTCAAACCGAGCCGTTAACGAGTCCGGGTGACGGTTCAAAAATTGTCTAGAGGCGAAGACACTCGCAAAAATTTCGCGAGTTATCTTTATGAAGCACTTTGTAAAGCAAACATTCACTCTTTTATGGATCACAAACTCCACAAAGGAGATGATATCTCACCCATTCTTCTAAGAGCCATACAGGAATCAGAGATTTCTGTGATTATTTTCTCTGCTGATTATGCTTCTTCAACTTGGTGTTTGGATGAGCTTGTTCACATATTAGAGTGTAAGAAAAAATTTGGAAGGATTGTGGTACCTATTTTCTACAAAGTTGACCCATCAAATGTTAGCCAACAAAGTGGGAGCTTTGGATATGGATTTGCTAAGCTGAAGCAAAGATTTAAAGACAACCCAGAGAGACTACACAAGTGGGAAAATGCTTTGATCCAGTCAACAAGCCTCTCTTCTAGATGGGATTCCACGAATATCAGGTACCTTCTAGTCATTCTTTGATATACTAGTGTAGATCACGTGCCTTGTATATATTAAAAAAAAAAAAAAAGAAAGTAGAGCTTTAATTTGATCATGTCTGATAGAGTTTTAGTACTCATTTCGATCTTAAATAGTAAGAGCTATGTTTGTTTTGATTCTAAAGTTTGGTGTGAATGGGGAAAAATGAGAATTAGGAAAATCAGGGAGAGAATACTACAAAGAAAAACCTCAAAAAGTAATAATTTTTGTTAACTATTTTTAGGAGTTATCCTTCATAATATTCTTTTCTTTTCAATTTTCTTTTCATCCAAATTAATGGTAAGTGTAAGACCTCAATTCAATTTATCGACTAAATTTATATTCTTTTTTCCTTAAACTATTGCATTATTAGTTGCACATATTGGGGGGTTTTTGATCAAGAGAGTAGTCAATAGAAATAATTAAAATGGTATTAACAAATTTAGTCTTCATAGTAAAATCATAAGGATTTAATTTGGAGGTCTCGAGACACCAAGAAATAATTAAAATGGATACTTTAGTGAAACTATAGATATACATTATTTACAAATAGATAATTTAACCAATTTTCTTATTCTCTGTAAATTAATTATTTAGCTTTTATATTTAGGACCATAAGACTGTAAATTTGCTAATCCATTTTAATTTCATTAGTCTACCTAATTTCTTGACATTTTTATACTGAATATTTTTCTTAAAAAAATATGAATTTTTACTAGGCCTGAGACCAAATTCATTAAAGAAATTGTGGAAGATATCTTGAGCAAACTGAACTACTATACATCATCAACATCATCATGTCATGTTGAAGGACTCGTGGGCATTAATCATCAAATTGAGAAAATAGAAGAACTCTTGATTGATGCTCGGATACTAGGAATATGGGGCACAGGTGGTATAGGTAAAACTACCCTTGCCAAAGCTTTGTTTGGCAAATTGAAATCACAATTTGAAGCTTCCTCATTTGTTGGAAATGTAAGAGAACAACTTGCAAGAAATGGAGTTGAAAAATTACAAGAACAATGCCTTAAAGAATTATTAAAAGATGAGGGCCTTCACATCTACAACATGAGATCCACTTTTGTGAAACATAGGCTTCAACGCAAGAAAATCCTTCTGATACTTGATGATGTGGACAATTTATTAACAGCAGAAGATTTAACCAAGTTGTGTGATTGGTTTGGAGAAGGAAGTAGAATTATTGTTACCTCCAGAGACATGCAAATTCTTAAGAATTCTTCTGCAAGTACAACATATCATGTTAAGGGATTAGAGTTCAATGATGCTCTAAATCTCTTCAGTTTGAAAGCATTTAAGCAAAATGAGCCATTTAAAGGCTATTTGGGGTTATCAAAGTTTGTTGTGAGTCATTATTGTCAAGGAAATCCATTAGCTCTTGTAGTGTTGGGTTGTTTTCTTTATCGAAAAACAAAAGAAGTGTGGGAAAGTGCATTGGAAAAACTAAAACAAGCCCCACATAAAGACATTTTTAGTGTTCTAAAATTGAGTTTTGATGGACTTGATGAGATGCAGAAGAATGTATTTTTTGACCTTACAATTTTCTTGAAGGGAGGAGCATGGAGGGTTTCTCTAGATTGTTTAAGAAGCTTATATGGTTCTTCTGCATATATTGACATATGTGTGCTTAAAGAGAGACCCTCATTTTAGTGAATGAAAATGGTGATATTGAGATGCATGCTCTTCTAATGGACATGGGGCTTGAAATTTCTAGGCAACAATTCATATCTAACCCAGAAAAACCCATTCGACTATGGAGGCACGAGGATATTTATCGTTTTTTCAACAATGACAAGGTAATAATTTATTTTTATTTTCTTGTCATTTATTTTCCTAAAAATTTATTTTTCATTCGTTAGAAATTTAAAATCCTCTGTAAGTCTCAATATTTGTCTAAGTAGTTTTTTTTTTAAAAAAAAAAAGTTCCCTGCTTTGATTAAAATTGGTTCGGGTGCAGAGCCTTTGTGTTGGGTGTAATTTATTAATCTTCTTAAATTTTGGAAAATAATTTATTATCAGGGAAACATGAATTTTCAGGAATTTTTTAATGAAATGCACAATAACGTCATTAATATTCATATTTCTGAAAGCAGATATACTTAACTGTTGTTTCCCTTAACTTGTTATTACTAGGCGACGGTGGAGGCAGTTCGATGCGTGTCATTAGACATGAGCAAGATGAAAATGATTAAATGGAGGTCTAGTGATTTTCAAAAAATGCACAATTTAATATTCCTTAGAATTTACAAGTCAGATCAAAGGAGAAAGCCTTCAAAGCTGAACCTTTTTGGACATTTGGATTATCTCCCAGAAGAATTAAGGTTTTTTAGGTGGGAAGAATATCCACTACCATATGTACCATTGCATTTCTGTGCCGAGAATCTTGTTATCCTTGGAACACCTAATAGTAATATCCGACAACTGGGCAATGGGACTCAGGTATGTACTATCATTTTTCATAGATCGCATCAAACACCGACCAGATTAAATCATTCACAATGCAAAGTGCTTTCTACTTTTCAGCATTTTCCAAATCTAAAGAGAATGGATGTACAGTATTCAAAAGATCTCACTGCTATCCCAGATCTATGCCATACCCCTAAGATTGAAAAGCTGTGTCTTGATGGTTGTGTGAGTTTGGCTCATATCCATTATTCTTCAGATGTCTCGGGAAGGAATGTGACCCTATATATACAAGATAGTAGGCCATTGGAGATGGACATTGAGGGCATTTTTAGAATGGAAGGGCTTAGTCCATCAGGGTTTGAGATTGTTCGCAGTTATAGTTTGGACGGTTGCGATAATTTGTCAATGAAGGTCGAGGTACGTGGCAAGATCATGTCGGGTGTTGGATTTAAACACGTGGAAGAGAATGCAGAATTGAGACAGAGATTGGAGTGTTTACTTCCATATGTGAAGAGAGTTGAATGGTCGGAGAGTGCAATTGATGATTTCAACCAACATTATAACTACCATCTGCATTATACCGATCCTTTTTACTCCCTTGCCACAGATAATGACCTACCACTTACAACACAAGTGGCGGCTATGGCGACAACGATGGCAACTACGACCACGTCAACGGAATATTATGATAGTAATAACAGTGTTACATTAACAAGGTATCACAGCAGCATCACTCCCAAGGAATTGATGAATTATCGGGAGCCATTAAATAAGAATATTCCTCGAGATTTAATTTTGAAAGCATTTTATTATGGTTATAGCCGACAATGCGGGCGAACCAGTAGGTCAAGCGTCACGGGTTGGAAGAATCTGTCCCCTTGAAAAGGTGGCATTTGACCAAGCCTTAAGCTGCCATTTTTAGGTGGCTCAACCTATGTTACCGACTCTAATTGTGGCTAAATATATTTAAGGGAAAATCACTGTCCTAGTCAAGAAAAATATTTACTGAAAAGTCCCAAAAGATATTTAAACAATTAAAAAGTTCTTTGAGACATGAGGGTGAGAGCTGAAAATAATGCAATGATCATTCTATCCTCATTGACAAGTAAGGAACCAAGCATTAACAAGTGATGGTCTTGGCATTGACAATTAGATCTGTAAACTCAACTATTGACAAGTGAGAGTTCATGCAATGACAATATGTTCTGATATTGCATTGACAAGTGATAGAAAAAAAAATTGACAAGCTACTGCACATCAAAATATAACTAAATATAAATTCTAATTAACTAACCAAACATGACAACTCAAGGCCGAGACATTGGCAAGTAATTGTCCAACAATTGACAAGTGTGGGTTCTGGGATTGACAACTGGCTCGGTATGTGCATATTAAACAACTCTCATGACGCAAGCAACTATTGACAACTGATGGTCCAGAAATTGACAAGTGACTATCCAACAATTGACACATGAAGGTCAGGCATTGACAAGTGAGAACATAATAATAACTGCATTATTTTCACCTATTACTTTTATGTCCCAAGGGACTTTTTAGTAGTTTAAACATTTTCTAAGACTTTTCGGTAAATAGCTTCCTTGGCTTGATCTTGCAGTGATTCTCCCTATATTCTATCCATCGATGGATATTCTACTATTGTTCGGCCTAGGTTGGGGCCTAATAGGTTTTTTTTTTTTTGGGTAGTATGGAGGCCCAGGGCCTAGAACAAGAAAAGACAAAACCAACACAAAACTAACATCCTCAACCCGTGTCTCTCCAGATCATCTGCGCCTCTTCATCTCTTGCCACACGCACAACTTCCTGAGGAATCTCAAAGAATAATCGACATTCTTTTCCCAGGTCTTTCTCAAGACTCAACTTTGCCATAGCATAGGGCCTAATAGGTTTATTGAATAAAAGTGAGGTGTCTGGTTTGAGAATTGTGATGGGCATGGAAATGTGAATGAATATATAGTACAGCGGGCTGGGATTGTGTTTCCGAGAGGAGTTTAACTGTTGGCGCTCTTTTGTGATGCTTATTGATATTCAGATACTGTGTAACATGTATCAGAGTCTGATGAATCCTTTTGCAGTAATCAGATTCTGCTTGTGATTTCAAAATTGACAAATATCCATTTTGCAAACTCTATGTAGTCAAGATTTGGGAAATACATGTTTTAATTTGTATTATAAGTTAAAGGATACTCTACATATGACAAATTATGAAAAATCATATATGCTAGTTTTATCAACGAAAATTGTTTCTCTGGTTAAGTCATACACGTATGGAGAGTAACGCACACAATAGAGCCCGCAGCAATTGTGAAGCAACATTAAGTAATTTATAAAGCACCAGTATTGCGGAAGCCTTCCGTGAATTACATATTAAAAAGCAAAATTAGCATTCCATTCCATAAAACGTTGTTCATATACAATAAAAATAAGAGTAAAATACTCTAGCTCTTCAATTTTACCTTAATTACCCAAACCTCCCTTGTATTTTGAAAATTTATATGGACCTCTCTCAAAATCAAAATACATGTTACACTAATTTCTCCTATATATTTAAGATTCCATTTCCATCTACCCAAACCGTTAGTTGACCGTTAGTCTAACTTTCAAACCTTTTTCTGGACCAAAATACCCCTCTTTATCATTAGAATTAATTAAGCATTTATATTCCCAAAAAACTTTATACAACAAAAAATAGTTATAATACATAAATTTTAAAACTTTTTAATATATTATAAAATTAATTAATTTTGGATTTATTGTAAAAATTTGTAATTTTAATTTTTTATTATATTTTTAAATTTATTTATTTTATTTTTTAAATGGCTAAAAATATATATCAAACATAAATTTTTTTGGCCGGATTAAACACAATTTTTTATTCTAATGATTTTAGTCAAAATATGCAATACAAAATAAAGTCATCTTATTTCTTTCTTTTTCTCTAAATAAGATTTATGTAACGGTAAAAATAATAATATAGGTAGTGATTTATTAGAAAGGGGTAAAATGGTAAATAAAATTTATTTTGAGAATATTTCTAACTGTGTTAAGAGATTGGATGAAACTATATATTTTTAAAATAGAGGGAAGGTCTGTATAATTAAGACATAATTGAAGGGATGTCAATATATTTTACTCTAAAAATAAATGACAATTTTAAGAAAATCCCTCTTGTGCAATGCTATTCGACATTAAGGAGCCTCAATCAGACAATTGTTTAAAGAATTAATATCATCATCAAAGTAATTAAGTAAACATGGATCGACAATCATGAATGATCATGGTGATACACCTTTTTTAGAATGCCAATAATTTATTTTGCATAATGCTTGAAGCATATGCATACACACAAACAATATGAAATAAATTGCAATAAAGATTTTCACTTGTTTAATCCTTGTTACTTTCCAATAATGGAGATGGAGGGATACTCTGCTCATGCCTGAAGAAATTACTTGGATCAACCTTAGACTTCACTTTGACCATCCTTATAAAATTATCCTTATTAAACTACGTGAATCCCCAAGTGCTTGACCTCAGGAAGCTTGTTCCATTGAATTGTTCCATCCCCAGACCAAGTTCTCTATAATTCACATATGCTTGAAGCATAAGGAGTCATGTAGTCATAGAATCCCCTTACCCAATTCATACGCTTTCCCATGCTCTTTTCTCTGTCGTACCACCTTGCCGCGTACTGAGACAAGAACAATGCATTGTAAAGCCCATTGACCAAAGATATTATGTGTATTTAATTTTCAAAGTCAATAAATTTGACATACGTTATATTTCTATATGGTTTTGCCAAAATCTTTCTTTTTGATAACGGAACATGGGGCATAGCCATTGACCAAACAACTGTTTGACATAAAGCCCTTCAAACAATTATGTTTTGAATATTTTTGTGTGAGAAAAAAATGTTTTATGTGGTTCAAAGTTAAATCATTTTAGGTTAAATAGTACTAATAATTATGCTTACTTATCATTAATTATTGCCATATGTGTTTTCCGTAATATTATATAATGCTCTTCCGGTCCTTAATATATGACTTAATTGGGGAGTTAATCTTTACGATGAATATAAAATTTAGTTTTCATATTTATCTATTTTTTTTCAGAGTGTCTTTATTGGTGTCCTTTAATCAAGTAAGAGAGAATGAAAGAATTGAGAAAGATGATTAGGGCGTTTTAGAAAAAAAATCGTATTAACTAATTTAACTAATTTCATTAATATAATTAAATTAGTTAGATATATCTTCTATCAAAGATCAAGGGAGTATTACTCTTCCTACCTCTGTTTATTTAACAACTATTTTTTGTTATATATGAGATAGAACATGTTAGTAATAATTTTCTCAAATAACTTCTATTTTGATTGTTTGAACTTACCACTTTAATCCTTGAAACAAAACTTGATTGTTTCCTGTGCGTTAGTTGGTCTTATAAGTCGTGTATTGTTACAAGTAGAATAAGCCGTGGTCAACGAATTTGTCCATTTAATATAAAAAAGTGTGGTTTATATTTTTATGAGAAAATTTCACTGCAACCCCTCTTTAGCAAATTAATATCATATTCCCTCCAAAAGATTCTGAAATTTTACTGCACCCATTGGACCAACATGACATTAAATTTTATAGGTGAAAATACATATATGCCATTTGATTGTTTTTCTTTTCTTTTGTTCTTTTCAATTAAAAGGCCCATCGCCGGAGCTTTGACTACTGGCCGAACCTCCATAAGCCGACAATCGACTGGATCTCTGTCCGCTAGTGGTCGAAGCTCCAGTGACCAAAAAATATGTTTGTTTTTAATCATCTTATTTTTGTTGTAAATTCCCTTATTTCATTTATTAATACAAACATTGATACTTGTATTGTGAGAGTTGTTAATTTGATTATATTTGTTGTTAATCACCTCATTTTTATTGTAAATCTCCTTATTTCAATTGTTAGTGCAGATATTGACACTTGCATTTATGGGAGTTGTTAATTCACTTATGTTTATGTTAATCACCTTATTTTTGTTACAAATCCACTTATTTTGTTTGTTAATGCGGAGCTAGATATTTGCATTTATAAGAGTTGTTAATTCCCTTATGTTTCTTGTTAAGAACCTTATTTTTGTTATAAACTCTCTTATTCCACTTGTTAATGTAGATCTAGACATTTACATTTATGGGAGTTGTTAATTCCCTTATTTTTTTTTTGTTAACCATCTTATTTTTGTTGTAAATTTGTTTATTGGACTTGTTAATGTATATCTAGACATTCGCATTCAAAGGTGTTGTTAAATCCTTTATATTTGTTATTTGTCACCAAATTTTTGTCGTAAATCCCTTTATTCCACTTGTTAAGGAGATTAGCAACAAATATAGGGGAATTAACTACTCATATAAATACAAGTGTCAATGTCAGCATTAACAAATATAATGAACATATTTACAATAAAAATAAGGTGATTAACAACAAATATAAGAAAATTAACAACTCCCATAATGCAAGTGTTAATATTTGCATTAACAAGTAAAATAAGGGTATTTACACCAAAAATAAGGCAATTAACAACAAACATATTTTCAGCCATTGGAGCTTCGACCACCAGTGGATTAGAGATCCGATCAATCATCGGTGTCTAGAGCTCCCACCACAGCAACAGTGGCCCTTTATTTAAGGGGAAAAATGGAAAACAAGCAAGGGGCAAAAATGTCATTTTACTTATAAAAATTTAATTTCATTTTGGTCCGGGGGTTGGAGTGAAATTTCAGAAACTTTTGAAGGAAATCTCATATAAATTTGCTACAAAGGGTGTACAATGAAATTTTCCCTATTTTTATACCGTAAATGAAGTCTTGCTCAGATAATAATTGACTTTTTTAAAATTCATTTATTTTTTCCTTCTCCTACGGCTGCCGCATCCACGCTTCTTGCCTGTTATCTCTCTGTTTTTTTTTTTTAATTTCTTTTCTTTGAATACTTTTTTCCCTACTCCATTTGTCATGTTTCTTGTACAAAATGAGAGAATATGAATAAAATTTCTATCTAAATTCTATTCTACCTAACAATTAAATTTACGGAGAACAATATATAAAATAAATTAAATAGCTATAAATATTTATAAATTTATTAATATAATATATCTTAAAATCTACACATATTTAATTATAAAATATGTACACCAAACAATGTAGGACTTAAGTATTGAAGTAGCATATGAATTATCAGGCCATACACAAACATCAAAATGCATATACTCCTCCGGTTCTTAATATAAGACCCATTTAACTAATTTGATTATATTAAGGAAGTTAGGTAAGTTAGTTAATTATAAGAAATGTGACACGTTCTTCCTAAAATACCATAATCATCTTTCTTAATACCCCTCTTCCTTCCTTCTACTTGATTATGGTTGAGGAAGTATCTATAGGGGTAATTTAGAGAAAATTGATAAATATAAGAAATGGGTCTTATATTTAGGATCAAAACCAACTCAACAATTAGGTCTTATATTAAGGACCAGAGGAGTACTTAGCCAAAAAAAAAATTGTTAGTTGAACAACATTTTGGAAATGCATTTGATCTCTGTGTGTGTGTGTGGGGTCTGATATCAGTAGGATAATGCAATGTTATGAAATTAGTGGGATGGTTAAATCAGTTAAGGTCAGTTCCAAAAAAAAAAAATTAAATCAGTTAAGATGCCATTTGAGTTGAGATTAAAGGTTATATGTGGGCCATTGGCCCAAACTAACAACACTCCATGAAAGGTTAACAAAGTGAAAAGGATTAATCCTTTTGTAACTTCAAATCTCCGCTGAGAAAGATATTTATATTTAGTGTCTAATAATATCTTAAATATGATTACATTTAATAGAGGGAGGCCTATGTTTAGAGGAAAAAAATTTAAAAACTAAAGTACTGAATCTCTCAGCATATAGAGAATCTCTCAACATGTAGAGAACAAAGAACTGCAATAAGCCTTCCATGGTTTTTTATGCAGCCTAACTTGACTTCATTTTTTTTTTTTTTGGAATTGTTTTATCAATTGTTCTTTTTGTCTTTGAATCCTTTCTTCAATAGTAACTAACAGCAGGCTGTTGTCGATACTAATCAACTTTTTTTGACAATAAATTAATTACCTAACAATATGTTACTACCGGTCCTTAATATAAGACTCAATTGTTGAGTTGGTTTTGGTCTTAAATATAGGACCCATTTTAAATATAGGACCCATTTCTCATATTTATCAATTTTCTCTAAATTACCCCTATAGATACTCCTCAACCATAACTAAGTAGAAGAGGAAGAGGGGGTATTAAGAAAGATGATTATGGTGTTTTAGGAAAAATGTGTCACATTTCTTATAATTAACTAACTTATCTAATTTCCTTAAATAATCAAATTAGTTAAATGAGCCTTATATTAAAGACCGGAGGAGTATTATTTTCCAAAGTGGAAGATGTGTGGATTGGATGAAGAAAAAAGCTAGAATTTACACGGCAACGCTACGCGCAGACTCTTGCTTCGAAGAAATTCAACTGTTGATCTCTTTGAAGATCAGGAGGAAGCTGCAGATCCCGGTGCCGCCATTTTTGCTATCTTTGTGAGCTATTTCTTCTGCTTCCTCCAGATCCAGGTTAGTACTGCCTAACGCATTTCTCTTCTTTCATTCACTTGCTTCATCCCATCCATCTCCTATTTTACCTACGAATTGTGCAAAACTCCTGCTAGTTTCTTCTTCTAGTGTTGAATCTTTATCTTGCAGTCGTCTGCTTTTACTCGTATCTAATGGAACATAACACGTGAGATCTGAATGCTATATTTTACTACGTGTATGTTGTATAATCCTCATAAACTACATTGAATTAGGAGTACCCATTGTTCGGTGAATTCTTAGTCATTTTTATTTCTGGTCGGCGGATGCCTCTCTGGAAATTTTGCTCCCTTGGAAAAGAAAACGGTTTCATACCCTTTTCCGTACTGTTAGGTCCCTCAACCTCAATAGTTCAACAGGCTGTTTTACGAATTTTATATTTCACTTCACAGTTCAGACCCCTGGACGCTGGTCTATTGTTTTGGTTTTGTTAACAGAATAGCCTAATGGAAGTCCAATAACCAAGGTCATCAGTGAAGCCCAATAGTATTAGATCCGCGTCTTCAGAAGATGCTATAACATATTAGGATAACGATACCTAAGATATTGTGTATTGTGCACTTGCTGAATATTTTTGTTAGATCTGTTTATCATCACGTGAACCAAGAGCCAAACCATAGCACCTCATGAGAAGGTAAAGCCAAAAAACAAGGATTAGTCTGAGGTTGAAGCAAGGAATTACTGTGACATGGATGCAACCATTGTTTTAATGCTCATAGAAGCTGTATTGATTTTGCTGGCAATAGCAATTTCTAAAGCTATCAGATTAATCTCTCCACTTCATGCTACCCATCCTATTTCTGTTGATGATAGGTAACATCCTCTATAGCAATTTCTCTTTGTTCGGTTTGCTGTTAGTGCAATATTATTCATGATTTCTTTCCATCTGTAGTGGTAAGGATGTTGTTGATGATCCGATTCCCACAGTTTCTTCTCCTTCTCATATCATTGATGCTCCTCTTGCAACCAAGTATGACGTCTTTCTTAACTTTAGAGGGGAAGACACGCATGACAACTTCACAAGTTATCTCTATGAAGCACTTTGCGATGCAAACATTGATACTTTTATGGATCACAAGCTCCACAAAGGAGATAACATCTCACCGATTCTTCTGGAAACAATAGAGGAATCAGAGATATCTTTGATTATTTTCTCCAAAGATTATGCCTCTTCAACATGGTGTATGGATGAACTTGTTCATATTATGAAATGTCGGGATAAATACAAAAGGGATGTCATACCTATTTTCTACTACCACGTTGATCCATCAAATATTCGCAAACAAGAAGGGAGTTTTGGAGATGGATTTGCTAAGCTTAAGCAAAGATTTAAGCACAACGAAAAAAGTGCAGGAGTGGAAAAAAGCTTTGAACCAATCAACAAATCTCTCTGGATGGGATTCAAAGAATTTCAGGTAGCAGCTTCTACTCATTCATCACTTATATTTTCTTTCTTTGGGCATTAAACATGATCATTCTTTTAATTTATATTGATGCTAGGACTGAACCCAAACTCATCAAAAAGATTGTGAAAGATATTCTGAGCAAATTGAATAGCAAGCCGTCCTTTCATCTAGAAGGATTAGTTGGGATTAGTCATCAAATCCAGAAAATTGAAGAGCTACTCGATGAAGCTCGCATTGTGGGAATATGGGGTATGGGAGGTATGGGTAAGACTACTCTTGCTAGAGCTGTATTCCACAAGTTGAAAGCACAGTTTAACGCTCTCTCCTTTGTTGAAAATGTAAGAAAACAACAAGGAATAATTGGGTTTGACAGGTTACAACAAGAATGTCTTAAAGAATTAATAAAAGATGAGGACATTAATGTCTTTGACATAAAATCCACTTTTGTGAGAAATAGGCTTCGACGCAAAAAAATTCTTCTGATACTTGATGATGTGGACAATTCAATACCAGCTGAGGATTTAACTAAAGTGTATCATTGGTTTGGAGAAGGAAGTAGAATTATTCTCACATCAAGAGACATACAAGTACTTCAAAATGTTTTTTGCATTTTCAATATACTCTGTCCCAAGATTGGATTTCCATGACGCCCTTCATCTTTTTAGTTTGAAAGCATTCAAGCAAAATGAGCCATTTAAAAGTTATGTGGAGCTATCAAAATCAGTAGTGGATTATTGTCAAGGAAATCCTTTTGCCCTTGTAAAGTTGGGTTCTTTTCTTCAGGGCAGAGGAAAAGAAGAATGGGAAAGTTCTTTGGAAAAAATAGAAGAAACTCCACCCAATTACATTATTGATGTTCTGAAATTGAGTTTTGATGGACTTGATAGGGACCAGAAGAATATGTTTCTTGACATAGCATTTTTCATCAAGGAAAAAGTTGATGTTTCTTTGGACCTAATAGGACAATTATATGGCTCTTCTGTAGATATTGACGTAAATGTTCTTAAAGAGACAGATCCCTCACTTCATTTGATCACAATGGCTATATTGAATGATAATCTTGTGAGGGACATGGGCGTTGAAATTGCTAGACAACAGTCATTTTCTAATCCTAAAGGCTCTGTTCGACTGCGAAGTCATAGGGACATCTATGATTTTTTCATTTGTAACAAGGTAATAATTTAATCTGTCTATTACTATTTTATCTCATTTTCTATGGTATTTTGGTAATTTTTATATAATAATCGTTGTTCTTTCTTTTTTCCTTTGACTTGCTTACTAGGTGACTGAGTCTATTCGATGCTTGTCATTGGATATGAGCAAGATAAAAAGGATTCCATTGACAATTAATGACCTTCGAAAGATGCATAATTTAATATTTCTAAAAATTTATTGGTCTGATGGGAGAGGGCCTTCAAAGTTGCTTATGGGTAACTAATTCAAGGTTGTTAGTTGGGAAGAATATCCTTCACCATATGTGCCATTAAGCTTCTTGTGTGGAGAATCTTGTTGAGCTTCAAATTCCTAGTAGTCATATAAGGCAACTTTGGAAAGGAGATCAAGTACGTACTCCTATATGTCTCAAGCCCCCAGATCTTGAATGCTTAAATATTGATGGCTGTGTAAGTTTGGATCAAATCCATTCTTCAAACTGTCCTAGTAAGCTTACCTATTTGTCTTAGAGATGATGGGCCAAAGCGAATAAACATCGGTGGCACTATTAAAGGGAGAAGTTGCACTGACAATGATATTGTGCACTATTATATGGATCTTCACAAGTTGTCATTCCAGGTGACAATGAAGATCTTTGTATCAGGAGGGACTGTCTCTGATGTTCGATTTGAACGTGTTAGAGATATCAGTGATGTCAAAATGGGGACCATCGCGAGCACAAGTTCATAAAGGGAGTCTATTCCAAAAGACTAATCTATTTGGCAGTAGAGAGTCCTTAAACTTATAAATCATATTTCAATTGTGAAGATCCTCAATGTGAGACATAGTAGGGAGGACCATCGCGAGCACAAGTTCATAAAGGGAGTCTATTCCAAAAGACTAATCTATTTGGCAGTAGAGTCCTTAAACTTATAAATCATATTTCAATTGTGAAGATCCTCAATGTGAGACATAGTAGGGAGACAGTGGCTTCTTTACTTCCATTTGTTAGCAAACCTTACAAGTTAGAGATTCGAGTCTGGGAATTTCAAAATGCATTATTCCTATGATTGTTATTATGGAGACTATTGTCATAGGCGTGATCATTTGATTCTTGCGATGGTGATTTGGCAGAGAACGCGGCGTTCAGAAGAGAAGCGGATAATGATAGTGAGGAGAAGATGAGATTGGAAGTTGAAGATGATGAGTTAATGGCACAAGGAGTGTTGTACAACGTAACACATACTACTGTATCAACAAGAATTCTCATTCACATAATTATTGTAAAGGGTATTTGATGTAAAGTCACACTTTTTTTTTTTTTTTAACTTTAACCAGTTATTAGTTAGATAGGTCTAGAAACAAGGGAGTATCATAGATTTTAATATCAAGAGGTCAAAATGGAAAAGTTCAACTAATGAGCTAGAAAATTAGAACAGTCACGTATATTTTGAATTAAGTATATCTCTCCTATGAGCATCTTTTATTTGAAACCAACGAATATAAATTAACTAATTGATCAAAACTGTCTCTTGGAAACAAGATCTTTCCTACTTATATACACACATTACATTCACAAAATGATTACATACGCTACATTTAACAAAAAAGGAATCAAAGATAGAGCAAAACAATAGAGTCGATGTCTTACGATAATACGTGAGTACAAAAACCAATATCTACACATCGATGCATATTGAAAACCATCAAAAGTCAATCACCTGCCGATACTTTTTCTTGAAAACCATAGGAGGAACAAAATGGAGTCATGATCTACATGAATGGGAAAATGAACAAAGAAATCTCCAGCCAACTCTTGCCATATGTCGATACTAAAACTAGGCATGTCCCATTTTGTTTCTGCTGTTGCAATATCATCATCATTGCCACCCCATATTATTGCTTCTTTATCCAGTGAGGTTCTTATATCTATAATAGGTTTAATCCTTTTGCAACAACTAGATCCTGCCAGTGATTTCAACATTGAAATCCCCGGAATGTCTTGAACTTGAGTACCAGTAATCTCACTTCTTTGTAATGTCACTTGTGTGAACAATGGCCAGCCTGTGATGTTATTAGGAACTCTTCTGGTTAATAATCTATTACTTGTAGTACTGCTACAATAACATTCCATTTCTGTCATTATCTCTCCTTCAATCTCCAATAATGGCTTCCTCTTTCCACGATAAGAGTTATAATCTATAATTGCCTCTTCTGTTATTGTCTTTTCTTCAAGCTCCAATAATGGCTTTCTCACCATTGCTCTGAGTTCATTGACTACATCTTTTGAAAGCATATTCTTAAGCTCTGCATGTTCAGAAAGAAAGTTGAAACGTTCGATGAAATTGCCAAACTCAGTAAGGTCTAACAAGCGAAGTGAAGTAACAAATGGAAGTAAAGATGACAATTTCAACTTTGAACTCTCCATATTTTTCAAGCGCTGATCTTCTGATAATATCTCTGACAATAATACTGACACAAGTTTAACCCAAAACCCAGAGAAAATATTACTGTCATTTGAGACGAAGAGCTTCACAGTCAATTTATGGAATAATGAGTTGCTAAGATCCAGAAAATAGTAGACAGCTACTAACCCTGAACTTGTCTCCTTAATATTGCCACAATGTTTATATGTCTTAGGTCTTTGCATTCTCGTATGGATAAATGGGAAAGCTTGTTCAAGCTACTTGAAGAATAAATTTGAGTCAAATTCTCACATTCATCAAGATATATCATACTCATATTGGGGGCTTGAGACTGATTTGGAAGCTCAATCATATGCTTTGAGGTAGTTAGGTTCATTACTCCTAAGTTTGGGAAATGCTGAAAAGAGAAACAACAGAAATAAATTAGGGAAAATGGTGAAAAATACCCATTTGAAAATTTAATTGTGCAGAAGGACCTGAATTGTGCAATTGCACGCAAGTGCAACATATCATCGCTGTGTGCAATTGCACAATTGCACAATTCAGGTTTTCCTCTTGGGAAGGTTTTCTGCGCGAGCGAGAGTTTCCTCTTGGGAAGCTTTCGCCGCGGCGAAAATTGAAAAATTAGAAAATCTGAAGGAGGAGAAGAAGCTCTGCTAGGGTTTCGGTGTTGTGGCTTGGGAAAGGTGTTTCTAAGGATCCATTACCTCAAGTAAGTGATTTTAACCTCTAATCTACTTTCTTTCTTGGAATTTTTGAGGATTTATGGTGAAGCCCTAGAGTTTTCTATGTTGTTATGGAATTGAGGTTTTTGACCGATTGTTTTGAGTTTAATTGATTGCTTTGGATTAGTCTAAGTATTTAATCGGTGTAGTTTTCTTGGATTTGAAGAACCTTGAGTTTTTGAAATTAGAGTTTATGAAAATGAGAGGTTTGTGATTGAGAATGATAATGTGGAGGTTGATTTTGAGTTTTGTGATTTGGGTTATGTTAAAAGGGATAAATTAGATGTTTAATCGGTTTAGAATGTTGTTAAGACTTCAATTGTTCAATGGGATGTTTTGAGTGTTGAATTCCTATAGTGGGTCCTTGATGTTATGAGTTTTAATTGATGTTTAGAAAGGAATTAAGGTTTTAATGGATTTTATGACCTTGGAGTGTTGCCTTGATGTTATACCCTTTTGAGTTAGGTAGAGTTTGGTTGGAGTTAGGAATTTTGTGTCCCCAAATGTTGTTTTGGCCACATTATTAGTTGAAAGCTAATACATGATGGTTGTGTGTTTGTGTAGACCCGTTGTGAGCATTGTTGGTGCACGGGGCCGTATTGTTGGTTTGTTATTCCTTACTCAGGCGAGAGGTAACCACTTTCCAATCCTTTGTACATGCTTTTGTAGTATTGTGAGTGGATTTATGTTTTGTGCTCCGAGTAACAACTGTGTTTAAAGTGTATGTTGTATATTAAAAAGGAAAACCGTCTTGTAGGATTTAAACTGATATTGATTGAATCTGGAACTTGTGAAAGATAGGCCACTGAAAGAAGTTAATTGTGAAATGATTATTTACTATTTGATTACGGTTTGAGCATGATGCATGAATTGGGAATTGGTGAGAGTTTTGATTGTTACTACCACGTGGTAAGGCTCCATTAATGCATGATGGTTGGCTCTTTACGTCCCCCATAGTGAGGGATTGGCCTTTTGGCTCCCTACGTCCCTCAGAGTGAGGGATAGGCCTTCTATGGCTCCCTACGTCCCCCAGAGTGAGGATAGGCCTTCTATGGTCCTTACGTCCCCCATAGTGAGGGATAGGCCAGGTTCGGCTCTTGAAAATCCTCCAAAGTGAGGGATATGGTTGATGGGATTGCATCATTGCACTTGCATGACTTGTATGGCTATCATTTATCATATTACTTGTGAACTGCCCCACTTGATACCTCACAGCACCTATTTAGTAGTACCTTGAATTGGAAAGATTGGTTACTGGGACGTTTGTCTCACCCCGTGGTTTACAATGTTTTCAGGTGAAGATTCTAGGCGTGTGTCATCGGGAAGAGACACAGAGGCTTGAGCTTGGTTAGCTTTAGGTCTCTAGCCCTTGTATATGTATGGCTAGTATATATTGCCACATTAGGACCCCTTTTTTTTGAAATATTTTGATTACCACGGCCTGATTGTTGAAAAACCATTTGGATGGCTGATATGATGTCTTTTGTTACCTAGGCCGGAGGCTCGGAGGCCCAGTAGATGTTAATGAATGATTTTTAGTTGCATGCAACGGAGTTTGGGTTTGACCCGAGTTTGAAAGTCAATTTCTAAAAATATGCAAATTTCTTTCTACTATGGTAGTTCATGTTAACAGCTTTCCTTTTCTACCATAGTAGTGATTTTACGACGAGTTTATAATGTTTTGAGGTAAAGGGTTTTACA